ATCTCTTTCAAGAATTTAGCATAAGCAGGCATCTGTGAGAGCACTTATGTGAATGATAAGTTTACATGAACATGTTTCAGCACATCCAGAAATCTCTCGAACTGCTTGTCCAGCTTTTCTCTACTTAGCTTTTGGGGAAATGGTAGCCCAGGCATATGCTTGCTCACCTCAGGTTCCTCCCTTCTTTTGTTGCCTTTCATAGTGCATGACATCAACACCATATTAAGCCATTCATAAAGTGGATATTTGCAATTCAATTGCATATTCTATAAGGCACGTCATCATCAGCCAGTGAGCCACGCTATGATAGGCCAATTTTATGGCCTTGAGCAATTTTCTTCTATCTTTCATATGTATAATCAGTTTTCGGTCCCGAACTTGATCCCGGGTTAATCTCTTGGGCTTTTACTCAGACTTCAATGCTCCAACTTGTTCAATTTAGCTCCCGAATATCTTTTTAACTCAAAATCACTTCCCACAAGGCATAAAACACATATTAAGGGCAATACTCTAGTATTTAAGCTCAAACACAAATAAAATGCAGTAATTACAGTGCAAACTATGACTAAAATACGTGATTCTAGCCTACCATCAGTGCTCTTGAAGAGGACGTCTACTGTTTATTCCGGCACAAGCATTTGATATTTTTGTTAACTCTCAAACGATAAAATTAACTCATCATTTGGACAAGAAATAAGATAAAAATAAAGGACCTTGTTTTATTCCCTCTATTTTTAAAAGTACATAGGCATTTATTTGCTTAAGTATATAAAGTTGCAAATACATGTGGCTAACTTGTATAACTTATTTCTACGGGGCTGATCATGCAGTCCCAGGTCCTGATGAAATCCCGGTTCTCGCAGTCCCCGATTTTTGTGGCACTCCTGGTGGCGTATCAGATATTATCCCCCCTAGTGTTCGAATGCGAAGCATGCGAATTCGAACACTGGAAGTCTTGAACCCAGATTGATATTTTATCAATGGAGACAATTTGTGAACGGTTAAATAATCCTTTTTTAATAATGGAAGGCAAGGCTTGCCTTCGAGCAAAAGAATATTTAACCATCCACATAGTTGTTTACCATCGATGTAAAATTTTAGTACCTTGATATTTAAAGGTCTTGCCTTTGCCGATGACACTTCCTTCATAGTATGCTTCTCGTTGCTGCCTCATTAAAAACCTTGCCAGAAAAATCTGATTGGGACAAAAACTGGTCGAAGGGAAAAAGACTGGCTCATACTTTCAGTATTGGCAGGAACCATCAGAAATAAAAACTTTTGAGGAGAGTCACGTTCCAATTTCTAGGAAATTTGACTTCATCTTGATTTTTCAACTCATATAATCCTTTACCGGTGATAGCTGAAACCTGGTAAGGACCTTCTCACATTGGTCCCAGCTTCCTGGCGTTGACTTCCTGAGTGCTCTGAGTCACCATCCTCAAAACCAAATCTCCTATTTTGAAATAGCGGAGATTGGCCTTGCGATTATAATATCTTTTCATCCATTGCTTTTGAGCCACTATCTTTATGTACGCCAAGTCCCAGTGTTCATCGAGCAAGTCCAGCTTTACTAGCAGTGCTTCATTGTTTGCCTCTTCGTTTGCTCGGGAAAACCTTAATGTCGGATCTCCTACTTCTACTGGTATCAGAGCCTCCATGCCGTACACGAGAGAGAAGGGTGTTTCTCCCATGCTCGACTTTGTTGTTGTCCGATATGCCCATAGCACAAATGGTAATTCGTCGGATTACTTGCCCTTAGCATCTTCTAGCTTCTTTTTAAGGTTTTGAATTATTACCTTGTTGGTCGATTTTGCCTATCCGTTAGCACTTGGGTGGTATGGTGAAGACTTAATTCTCTTGATTTTTAACCCTTCCAAAAACTTTATGACTTTTGAACCTATGAGTTGCAGCCTGTTATCATATGCGATTTCCTTTGGTATTCCAAATCGGCAGATTATGTGGTCCCATCTGAAGTCAACGACTTTGCGTTCTCCGGTCTTTTGGTATGGACCTGCTTTAATCCATTTAGAGAAATAATCAGTTAAAACCAAGAGAAATCTTACCTTTTCGGGGCACGGTGGTAAAGGTCCAACTATGTCCATTCACCATTTCATGAATGGCCACGGGGACAACATCGATTGCAAAAGTTCTGCTGGTTGGTGCACCGACTATGCATGGACTTGACATTTGTCACATTTTTGAATGAATGCCTTTGTGTCCTGTTCCATCCAGGGCCAGTAGTAACCTACCCAGATCAACTTTAGAACTAATGAGTCTGCACCAGAATGATTCCCGCAAACTCCTTCGTGGACTTCTCTCATCACGTAGTCCGCCTCCGAGGCCCCTAGACACCGAGCCAGTGGTCCTTGGAATGATATCCTGTAGAGCTGCCCATTTACGAGGCAGTAGCGAGCTACTTTGGTTTGCAATGCCCGAGACGCCTTTGAGTCTTCGGGTAATTTACCATACATGAGATATTCAATGAACTCGTTCCTCCAGTCCCAAATTAAGTTGGTCGAATTGACTTCGTAGTAACCGTCCACATCCAACATCGAATGCAGCAGTTGGATGACCGTATCGAAGTTAGATCCTTTCATCTCTGTGGATGGCCCCAAGTTAGCCAATGCGTCTGCTTTCACATTTTCTTCCCTTGGAATGTGGATTACTGTCCATTCTCTGAATCGTGCAAGCAATGTTTGAACCTTGTTCAAGTACTACTACAAACGTTCTTCCTTCGCATCGAAAATCCCATACACTTGGTTGACCACCAGTTGGGAGTCGTATTTTATTTCGATGGCCTCGGATCCTAGTCCCCGGGCCAGCTTAAGTCCTGTAACCAAAGCCTCATACTCGGCTTCATTGTTAGTTAGCGGAATAGTTTTAATAGCCTACCTCAGGGTTTCCCCCAAGGGCGTGATTAGAACTACCTCGAGTTCGGAACCTTTCCCGTTGGTGGCTCCGTCCGTAAATAGGGACCAAACTCCTGATGTTGTTTTCAACACCAACACTGCTTCTTAACCAGCCAAGGCATTAACTCGGGACTGAAGTCGGCCACAAAGTTGGCCAAAACTTATGACTTAATTGCAGTCCTGGGTTTGTACTCAATGTCATATTCGTTAATTTCGACTGCCTATTTAGCCAAACGGCCAGACAATTCAGGCTTGTTCATGAAATTCCTTAAGGGAAAGGTTGTCACAACGACTATCGGGTGGCACTAAAAATAAGGCTTAAGCTTTCGGGAGGCAACTACGAGAGCTAAGGTCAGCTTTTCGAAGTGCAGATAGCGTGTCTCCGCTCCCGACAGTATTTTGCTAACATAATAAACAGGAATTTGCATACATTCTTCCTTTGGAACCAAAACAGCACATACCTCTACTTCCGAGACCACTAGGTATATTAATATTTGCTCGCCTTCTCCCAATTTTGACAGTAACGGGGGGCTGGACGGGTATCTTTTTAGGTCTTTCAGTGTCTGTTGGCATTCCAGAGTTCATTCGAAATCGTTCTTCTTTTTCAGAAGTGAAAAGAAGTGATGTCACTTTTCTGAAGATCCTGAGATGAACCTGCTTAAAGCCGCCAACCTTCTGGTTAGCCTCTACACTTCCTTCACACTTGTTAGCTGATCCGGGATGTCCTCGATAGCTTTGATTTTATTAGGATTTACCTCGATCCCCCTTTGCGAGACTACGAACCTCAAAAACTTACCCGAACCAACCCCAAATGCGCATTTCTCCAGGTTGAGTTTCATGTTATGCTTCCTCAGAATGTCAAAAGTCTCTTGGAGTTGTTTCAAATGATCTCATGCATTTAAAGACTTGACTAACATGTCATCAATATATACTTCCATTGTTTTGCCTATCTGATCCTCAAACATTTTATTAACGAGCCTCTAATAAGTGGCTCCGGTGTTCTTAAGCCCAAAAGGCATCATATTATAGCAATATGTGCCAAAGTTTGTTATGAAAGAAGTTTTCTCATGATCCTCCGAGTTCATCATGATTTGATTGTATCCGGAGTAAGCATCAAGGAAACTCATTAGCTCGTGTCCAGCTGTAGCATCAATCATTCAATCAATGTTTGGCAACAGGAATGAGCCTTTAGGGCATATATTATTTAAATCTTTATAGTCTACGCACATCCTAAATCTGTTATTCTTTTTGGGTACTACAAATACGTTGGCTAACCATTCCGGATACTTTACCTCCCGGATTGAACCAATATTGAGTAATCGGGTTACCTCTTCTTTAACAAACTTGTTACTAACCTCTGCTATTGGGCATTTCTTTTGCCTTACCGATGGGACATTTGGATCCAGACTTAGCTTGTGGACCGCTACCTCCAATGGGATGCCTGTCATATCCGAGTGCGACCACGCAAAGCAGTCAGCGTTAGCTTTAAGAAAGTTTATGAATTCTAACTTGAGCTCGGGATTTAATCCTGTTCCCAGATGAAACTTCCTTTCCAAAAACTCTTCGAACAAGGCCACTTGCTCGAGTTCTTTTGTGGTCGACTTGGTCGCATCCGTCTCCTCTGGTACCTAAAAATATCTTGGAACCTGATGGGATTCCAATGAATCCTCGCCTTGATCATCTTCATTCGGAAAGGGAGAAGTCATCGGTTCTTGTAATTGCTCTTTGTTGGACTCTTTCCCCTTGCTGCTGGAAACAGTCATTGCATTCATCTCCCTCACCGTTGGCTGGTCTCCTCTTATTGGCTTAGTTCCCTCTAACGCCGAAAATTTCATCAATTGGTGATTTGTTGAGGGTATAACATTCATATCGTGTATCCACGATCTTCTGAGGATTACATTGTAACCCATATCTCTATCCACCACTTCGAATATAGTGGTCTTCATTACTCCTTTGGCATGTGTGGAGCAGCAAAATCTCACCTCGGGTTGTCACGCTTGTCAAGTTGAAGCTGGCTAAGAGTTTTGTCGCCGGAACGATGCTTTCAATTAACTTCGCTTATTCCAGAACTCTTCATTGGATGATGTTAGCTTAACTTCCTGGATCAACCAGAACATGCTTAATTTTGAAATCTAAAATATTGAGAGAGATTACTAAAGTGTCGTTCTGTGGCAGAAGAAGTCCGCCAGCATCCTCCTCCGTGAAGGTGATATCATCTTCCATGACTTTCCGGAGTCTCTTGTTGTGAGTCACCGATATCTTTATTTTCTCTGTTGATGAAAAGGTTACCCCATTGACTTCGTTTCCTCCAAAAATCATATTGATAGTTATCTGAGGTGCCCCTTCTGCTATCTTCGAATGCTCTGCATTGTCTCGGCTTCGGCCATAGTTGTTCTTGGCTCGGTCACTTAAAAACTCCCCAAGATGGCCATTCTTCAACAATGTCTCCACCTCTTCGCGAAGATGTCGGCAGTCCCCGGTTCTGTGGCCGTGAGTCCCATGGTATTCACAACATAAATTGGGATCTCTCTGGCTAGGATCTGATCAGATTGGCTTCGGGAGTAGTGTTTCTTTGATATTTCTCATTACCGATACCAATTCTACCAGGATGATATTAAAGTTATAATTCGATAACCGGGGATATGCGGAGTCTCGGGCCCTTGGCATATTCTTTCTCCTGCAACGATTTATTGTTCTTGCCACGATCGATTCTTCTATCTAGATCAGACCTATCCGATGACTGAAACCCTTTGCTATTACGCCCATCGGTTCTCCCGTACGGTACAAAATGACCTCTGGAGGACCGCCGATCTGCATCATAGTCATTCTTAAACCTGTCCTAATTTTTGTCTCGACCACGTCCCTTGGTCGATACCGATGATCCAAGTTGATCGTCTTCTATCCTTATTTTTGACTCTTAGCGGTTATGGACATCCGCCCATGTGGTCGCCTGAAACTCAATCAAGATTTCCTTTAATTTGCGAGAGGCATCAGAACTCGGTGGGTTTACACCCTTCGTGAATGCCTCCGCTGCCCACTCATATGGAACCGTTGGTAGCAGCCTCCTTTCTTTCTGGAACCGGATCACAAATTCTCGAAGAAGCTCTGTCACGAACCCAATCTCTCTCCGTAGGATGTCGTGATGGAACCTAGTCTCTAAGACTAGGTAAGCCTAACATACATGAAGAATTAACGGAAATAATAATAAAACTCACAATTAAACCAACAACTATCATAAAAGGACTTCACAATACAACCGAATACAACACCCAAAATCTGGTGAGACCGAGTCATAAGCTCTACACAAGTATACTGAAACATCCCTATACAACAGTATCTATAAAAGGAGAATGAAATAGAAACTAGATAGAGGGTGACTCTGAGGCCTGCGAACGCCGGTAGGTATACCTTGAAGTTCTGATCCAAGCTCAACTCACGGATACCTAGGCTGGTATGAAGTATCAAGATCTGCATAAAAAGATGTGCAGAAGCATAGTATGAGTATACCACAACGGTACCCAGTAAGTATCAAGCCTAACCTCGGTAGAGTAGAGACGAGGTCAGGTCAAGACACCTACTAGAATAAACAAAGAAAATTGAACAGTATAGTATAGTATAATGATGGAAACAATGGAAATAATACAATGAAGAAATACAACAAGAATAGCTACACTGAAATTAAGGCAATAAAGACATCACAGAAGAAACGCATAATAAGAATGTCAAGAAAACAATGCAGACCAAACACAAGTGATATAAATGAAAGATAGCAACAAGAATCACTACCGAGGTACAGTCTCTTAGTCTCATTTCACAATCAAAATCAAAATTTTTCCTTATATCACCGCGGAAGCCTTACATTTAGTTTTGAAAATCATTTTCCCAAAATAGCTACCCGCATTTTAGCCCACCTTATCACACCGCGTGGCTTCAAGTAGTTCCTCTACTAGCAACATGGGTATCAAGCCTGCCTTATCTCACCGCATGCGTATCAACCCCTATCCTTATACCACCGCATGCGTATCAATATCATAACATATCACAAGTCGCATCTAAAGTGCCCAATACCATAACTTTCCAAAGAAGTCAACAATAACAATGTTTCCATAATAAATAGCCCACGGCTCAACCACAATATTTACAAGAGTCTCAACAATAGCAACCGAAAGTTAATAACTCAACAAGAATGGTATTTCAACAATTTACAATTTTACCTCAATGTGATCCCGTCTTTTACAACTTCAACACCAAAACTCAATAATAAGATACTCCAAGAAATAACAACTTCAAGTAAGGTAACTCGACAGTTAAATATTTAACAAGGTAATGAGAAATCAGTAACTTCAACTAAGCATGTAAGGGCAATCAACAAGTAAGAAATGAGGCAAATATTAACAATGTCAAGTGAAGAATGTAAGGATAGAATAATGATGATGAATATAACATGTTATGACAGTTCAATTAAAGGCATGAAAAGAATCTACATAGCTTAAACCGGTCAATTACCACATTTGACACGTGTACCCACTTGCCACATTACGTACACGGCTTTCACGTACCACAATTAACAAAAAATAACACCAATCCTAAGGGGTATTTCTGCCATACAAAGTTAGGCAAGACACTTACCTCAAAACACGCTAACTCAATCCACTAGCCTATTCTGCGAGTATCCAACTCCGAACGGCTCGAATCTAGCCAAAAACACTTTATACCATAAATACAAATCATAGGAAACTATTCCAAATAATAAAGCTGCAATCTTTAAAGAAAATCAAAAAGTCAACCCTATGCTTGCGACTCAGAACCCAACCAAACTTATAAAATCCGAACACTCATTCGATAATGAGTCCAACCATACTAAAATTACTCAATTCCGATCTCAAATCGACCTTCAAATCCTCAAAATATAGTCTATGAAGTTTTCCCAATTTTTCCAACTCAAAAAACTAATTAAATGATAAAAACAATGATGGATTCATGTACAATAGTCAAATCCGAGTTATAATCACTTTCCCTAATCAATTTCTTGAAAATCCCTCTCAAATATTGCCCTAAACCGAGCTCTCTAAGTTAAAAGATGAAGAATAAAATAAAACCCTCGAATTCACACTTTTCTGCCTAGCGATCTCGCTTCTGCGAGCCCTCAGCAGCATCTACGGCTCCGCACCTGCGGAAATTCCATGGCACGTGCGGCTTTCACTTAAGCCATGAACATATCACTTCTGCGGTCCCCAACCGCTTCTGCGGAGAAACAACCGCTCTTGCGAGCTCGCTTCTGCAGCTCACCTCCTCACATGCGCTCCATAGCCAAAGGCCCAAACTCCCATCCCAATCCGCTTCTGCGGGTGTGCATCTGCCCGCCAAACTCCGCACCTACGGTTCTTCCCCTGGCTAGCCCTTTTCGCTTCTGCGATGAGTCCCTCGCAGCAGCTTCAGCAATCAACTAAGTCTAAAATTATCCCAATTTAAATCTGATTCACACCCGGGGCCCCCGGGACCCCGTCTGGATATACTAACAAGTCCCAAAACACATAATGAACCTACTCGAGGCCTAAAATCACATCAAACAATATCGATTCTACGAATCGCAATCCAATTTAAACCTATTAAAACCATGAACACCAGACGTCCAAAACTAACGCCAATTCATACCAAACCAACTCTGATTGACCTCAAATTTTGCACATAAGTCATAAATGACCCAACAGACCTATTCCAACTTCTGGAATCGGAATTCGACCCTGATATCAATAAAGTCAACTTTCGGTCAAACTTCTCAACCTACCAAACCTTCAAAATCACCATACGAAACTATCAAAACTGTCAAAACTCCATTCTGGAGTCATCTACACAAAGGTCCAACTCTGATCAATCCTTTCAACTTAAGCCTCCAACTAAGGGACTAAGTATCCCATTTCACTCCGAAATTCACCCGAAGCCAAAACCAACCTGTCCGGCAATTCACAAAATCATAATATAACATAGAGGAGGATATAAATAGGGGAACGAGGCTAAAATACTTAAAATGACCGGCCAGGTCGTTACATCCTCCCCCTCTTAAAACAAACGTTCGTTCTCGATCAAGTATGGAGACATACCTGAAGTGATGAAAAGATGAGGGTAACAGCTACGCATATCATGCTCGGTCTCCCAAGTCGCCTCTTTGACTGGTTGACCCCTCCACTGAACCTTCACTGAAGCAATTCTCTTTGGCCTCAACTTTCAGACCTGCCTGTCCAAGATGGTCACTGGTTCCTCATAATATGACAAATCCTTGTCCAATTGGAATGAGCTAAAAGCTAACACACACTGTGATACTTCCGGAGCATAGAAACATGAAATACCAGATGAACTGCGAATATACTAGGTGGCAATTCAAGCTTGTAGGCCACCTCACCAATCCTCTCAAGAATCTCAAAAGGTCTGATATACCTAGAGCTCAACTTGCCCTTCTTCACGAACCTCATAACACCCTTTATGAGCGAAACCTGGAGCAATACCCGCTCTTCAACCACGAATGCAATATTGCAAACCTTTCGATCTGCATAACTCTTCTGTCTAGATTGGGTTGTACAAAGGTGATCCTAGATCAACTTGACCTTCTCCAAGGCATCTCGAACCTAATCCATGCCTAATAACTTAGCCTCTCCCGGCTCAAACCAACCAACTGGGGAATGACACCGTCTTCCATATAGGGCCTCATAAGGAGCCAGATGGATACTCGATTGGTAGCTGCTATTGTAGGCAAACTCCACAAGCGGAAAGAACTGATCCCAAGAAACCCCAAAATCCACAACACAAGCACGAATCATATCCTCCAATATATAAATGTTGCGCTCGGACTGTCCGTCTATCTGGGAGTGGAATGTTATACTCAACTTAACCCGTGTGCCTAACCTACATTGTACGTCCCATCAGAATCTTGATGTAAATTGCGTACCCCGGTCAGAGATGATAGATACCGGCACGCCATGAAGTCGAACAATTTCATGAATATAGACCTGAGCCAGATGCTCTGAAGAATAGGTAGTCATCACCGGAATGAAATGAGCTGACTTGGTCAACCTATCTACAATCACCCATACAACATCAAATTTCTTCTGAGTATGTGGGAGCGCAACAACAAAGTCCACGGTAACTCGCTCCCATATCCACTTGGGAATCTCAAGTCTCTGAAGCAACCCATCTGGCCTCTGTGCTCATACTTCACCTGATGACAATTTAGGCACCAAGCTACATACTCCACTATGTCGTTCTTCATTCTTCTCCACCAATAGTGCTTCCTCAAATCCTGATACATCTTAGCGGCACCCGTATGAATGGAGTACTGCAAATTGTGGGCCTCCTGAAGAATCAACTCTCGTAACCTTTCCAGGTTAGGCACACATAATAGGCCCTACATCAGCAACACACCGCCATCTCCGATAGAAACCTCCTTGGCATCGTCGTGTTGCACTATGTCCTTAAGGACAAGCAAATGAGGGTCGTCATACTGACGTTCTCTAATGCGATCATATAAAGAATTCAGAGAAACCACGCTAGCTAGAAGTCGACTTAGCTCTGAAATATCCAATCTAACAAACTAGTTGGCTAAGGCCTTAACATCCAATGCTAAGGGCCTCTCTGCTGCCGATAGATAAGCTAAATTGCCAATCGGCCACCACATTGGCCTTCCGGGATGATATAGAAAAGTGATATCATAGTGCTTAAGCAACTCTAACCATCTCCACTATCGCAAGTTAAGATCCTTCTATTTGAACAGATGTTGTAGACTCCGATGGTCGGTAAAGACCTCACAAGGGACACCGTGCAAATAATGCGGC